CTGGATGAGTGTCGACTTCTTCTGGACTTCCACAACACTGAGATCCTGACTGATGTTACAGAGTCCACCTCAGTGGACGTGCTGCTGACAAACCTCATCAGGGGTAAACTGCTTCCCTCTGCTCGCCTCTGGATAACCACACGACCTGCAGCAGCCAATCAGATCCCTCCTGAGTGTGTTGACATGGTGACAGAGGTTAGAGGGTTCACTGACCCACAGAAGGAGGAGTACTTCAGGAAGAGGTTCAGAGATGAGGAACAGGTCAGCAGGATGATCTCCCACATCAAGACATCACGAAGCCTCCACATCATGTGCCACATCCCAGTCTTCTGCTGGATCACTGCTACAGTTCTGGAGGAGGTGATGAAAACCAGAGAGGGAGGAGAGCTGCCCAAGACCCTGACTCAGATGTACATCCACTTCCTGGTGGTTCAGTCCAAACTGAAGAAGGTCAAGTATGATGGAGGATCTGAGACAGATCCACACTGGAGTCCAGAGAGCAGGAAGATGATTGAGTCTCTGGGAAAACTGGCTTTTGAGCAGCTGCAGAAAGGAAACCTGATCTTCTATGAATCAGACCTGACAGAGTGTGGCATCGATATCAGAGCAGCCTCAGTGTACTCAGGAGTGTTCACACAGATCTTTAAAGAGGAGAGAGGCCTGTACCAGGACAAGGTGTTCTGCTTCGTCCATCTGAGTGTTCAGGAGTTTCTGGCTGCTCTTCATGTCCATCTGACCTTCATCAACTCTGGAGTCAATCTGCTGTCGTATAAACAATCAACCTATTGCTTACCTAAACTCTTCAGGGACGAGCCTGACCCAACAGTCTTCTACCAGAGAGCTGTGGACGAGGCCTTACAGAGTCCAAATGGACACCTGGACTTATTCCTCCGCTTCCTCCTGGGTCTTTCACTGCAGACCAATCAGACTCTCCTACAAGGTCTGATGACAAAGACAGGAAGTCGGTCAGAGACCAAGAGTAAAACAGTCCAGTACGTCAAGAAGAAGATCAGTGAGAATCTGTCTGCAGAGAAAAGCATCAACCTGTTCCACTGTCTGAATGAACTGAATGATCGTTCTCTAGTGGAGCAGATCCAACAGTCCCTGAGATCAGGAAGTCTCTCCACAGATAAAATGTCTCCTGCTCAATGGTCAGCTCTGGTCTTCATCTTACTGTCATCAGAAGAAGATCTGGACGTGTTTGACCTGAAGAAATACTCTCCTTTAGAGGAGGCTCTTCTGAGGCTGCTGCCAGTGGTCAAAGCATCTAACAGAGCTGTGTATGTGCACATATATCCATTTAGATTAACTATCTTTTGTCAAGAAAGAAAATTAAAATTAAAATTGATTTCTTTTGTTCTGCTGATTCCTCTTCAGACTGAGTGGCTGTAACCTCTCAGAGAGAAGTTGTGAAGCTCTGTCATCAGTCCTCAGCTCCCAGTCCTCTAGTCTGAGACACCTGGACCTGAGTAACAACGACCTGCAGGATTCAGGAGTGAAACTGCTGTCTGCTGGACTGGAGAGTCCACACTGTAAACTGGGGGGTCTCGGGTAAGTGTCTATCTTTAAACCTTTACATATATTCTTAAAATATTGAGTATGTTAATAGTTATTTCTGAATTCCTCTTCAGACTGAGTGGCTGTAAACTCTCAGAGAGAAGTTGTGAAACTCTGTCATCAGTCCTCACCTCCCAGTCCTCTAGTCTGAGACACCTGGACCTGAGTAACAACGACCTGCAGGATTCAGGAGTGAAACTGCTGTCTGCTGGACTGGAGAGTCCACACTGTAAACTGGGGGGTCTCGGGTAAGTGTCTATCTTTAAACCTTTACATATATTCTTAAAATATTGAGTATGTTAATAGTTATTTCTGAATTCCTCTTCAGACTGAGTGGCTGTAAACTCTCAGAGAGAAGTTGTGAAGCTCTGTCATCAGTCCTCAGCTCCCAGTCCTCTAGTCTGAGAGACCTGGACCTGAGTAACAACAACCTGCAGGATTCAGGAGTTAATCTGCTGTCTGCTGGACTGAAGAAACCACAATGTAAACTGGAAGGTCTCAGGTAAGGATCTTTTTTGTAGACTTTTCTACAAGACTTTTCATTCATTTTTATCATCTTGTATTTAATGTGGTAATATTGTACTGAGGAGGTTTGCTGACTGATTGTCACCAGTTTAGTGTTTTTGTGCAGAACACTGATTGAGAAAACTAGTAGTTAAACCTACTTATTCTAGTTGTCACGTCCTTGAGGTGAGTAGGGGTAAAGGGTGGACCCAAATGCGGAGATGGGAGCCGTGTCAAAGAATTTATTCCAAGAAAAACCAAAGTCCAAACATGAGTCGCCAAAACACACATTTAACCTCACAACCTACAAACAAACAATGATACCACAAGGACAAGACAGAACAAGGGCTCTTAAAAAGGAACAGAACTGATTAACAATGGAGAACAGGTGGGGAATCAGACACAGGTGGGACACATCAGGGATGATTAACAAAAGGAAGCAAAACTAGAACTCAGACACTGGGGTGACATGACTATCAAAACAAAACAGGACGTGCACAGGGAAACAGAGCACAAGACAGGGAAGACTAAACTAACCAGAACACCCAAACCAGAAAACACTCAAAACCCAGAACAGAAACCCAAAACACAGAAAACCCAACCAAGAAAGTCCAAAAACCAAAAACCTGGAGCCTCCAGGCTGAGACCATGACACTAGTAGGATATAGTGTAGCCTGAATGTGAACTTACATTCAATTGTTCCTTCATATAACATTGTCATCCGCTTAAAACATGTTTTCTTTAGGCAGGAGTAAAAGTGATGATGATGTTAGTTTCACTTTTCGTGCCTCAGATATTCAAATAGTTTGTTTATCATCAGGGACAGAAAAACAAAAAATACTCACTCTATAGTAAAGATATATATTATTCATACACTCACACACTTTGAATATTTGGAAATTATCTTGTGTTTCTACAGCATTGTGATCTTATTCTTTACATTTCACCTAGTTGATTATGATTTTTTGTGTTTCTACGACCAAATTTTCTCATGTGTTTCACCTCTTCATCTCATTTTATATTCAGTATTTCAGTCATTGTTCTGATGATGCTGCTTGTAATTAACATCTCCGCCTATTTAATTTAAACACTACCGATGCTGGATTGCAGAACCAGAATTAACTGAGCCAGTTAATAACCAGCTTCAGGTTACTAGTTAATCAGGGTCACCAGTATTGGACTCAGTGAAGCAGGTAAAACCCTGAGACAGCCAAACTAAGTTGAATTAGGTTTGTGGTATGGGCCCCAGCACAGAAGTTCAATAAAAAACACCTAGATAAGATCTTGCAGGAAAATCTCTGGGAAGGCGGGAAACTCAGACCACAGTCAGAGTCTTCCTCTCAGCAACACTTTGTCACATCAACCCTCTCCCTGTACACCTGTGTGAAGATGATTGGATGTTGCTGATCACAAACCAATGATTGTGAAGAATAATAAAAATGGCTGATACAATCAACAAATACAATACACACATTCAGTGCTGAGTCTAAGCCAACACAATGCTTCATTAGTGTCAGTGATTGTTACAGTCCTGTTACAACTGTGAGCATCTTCTGCTGATTTTTAAACTGCACTAATATGAAAGTTTTAGCTCAGAGTTTACACTGACAGTAAGGTCCTGTGTGTGTGTGTGTGTGTGTGTGTGTGTTCAGTTTGCGAGGATGTCTGATCACAGAGAAAGGCTGTGCTTCTCTGGCCTCAGCTCTGAACTCCAACCCCTCCCATCTGAGAGAGCTGGACTTGAGCTACAATCATCCAGGAGACTCAGGAGTGAAGCTGCTGTCTGCTGGACTGGAGGATCCGCGCTGGAGACTGGACACTCTTGGGTATGGACAGATGGACTGACACCAGCAGCTCTCTCACTGTGTCTCTGTCTCTCTGACTGACTGAGGAGCTCTGCTTCATGTTTCATGGTGGATATGAGTGAAGGTGATGAAGTTGACTCTGACTTTGTTTCTTCCTCCAGGGTGGACCATTGTGGACCACAGAGACTGAGACCTGGTCTGAGGAAGTGTGAGTGTGTTTTAAGTTTGATTCATGAGAACACAGCTGATCCAACACAACCAATCAATACATTTTATTAACAATGGCGTCAACACAAAGCTGGCTTTGTTTCTTCTGTTTTTTTGACTGCCAGTGATTCTATAGAAGGCGTTTGTTGCCTTCAGGTGCTGCTCATAAGCTGGTAGTTTACACCTTTGACTGACATAAGTTGTGTTCGGGAAACCTTCAGTTTTCTTCTCTGATGTGTTTAATGAACCTACAAGTCACAACAACAACGGGTCATAATTAATGTGTCACAAGTTGAGTAAAGTGAGCTGAGGTGGATTTATCTTCCACTTCCTCCCTGACTACAGACCTGGGGCCAGATGTGTGATGAGCTCTTTTCACTGACTGGTTGACAGACTGCTGAAGCAGACACAAGTATTGATATGCAAACTAGGGAAGGGCACTTGAAGAAATTTCCTTGATCGATCATCAGGACATTAACTATCAATTATCAATTCAGTATTATTTTTTTATTTTAAAAAAAATGCCTATGGCAAAAAATATTAAGAAAGCGTCTTTTTTCCTCAATGAAATCTTTTATTCCAATAAGAAATTATAGTCCAACAACAATCCTCTTACACACAGCAGTTAACGTTTAATTGTTTAACTATTAAACAGAACAAAAAGATATGCTGCGCTCCTAATGGCAGCGGAGCCCGAGGCTCTGAGCCAAACCTCCTCATAAATAACAAACCAAAGCTTCGCTGCTTATACACAGCATTGCAATGTTTACAATGAGCTTTGTTATTTTTCAGCTCGAAATGTTCCCAATCAAAACTGCGACGCCTACTGCAGCTGAATATTCATTTTTCTCTTTAAATTTAAATTTAAATTGTTGCTGCCACGTAGTGAAATTCATTGTATTGCTTCAAGACGCACAACACAACACAACCTCATTGATACACACATTAGATCCATCAGATTCCACGTGATCGACAAAATTCTTAATGATAAATTATTAGTCATCGATTAATCATGCCCACCCCTAATACAAACACATGATTCAGGGAGTGTTTACTGTCTACATCCATGTCTGTCTCACTGTGGAAATGAGGCTCCTGTATGTGCGTCCACTTCCACAGAGACTGAGATTCATGAAACAGAACCATGTGAACTCACAGCTTTATAATCCTGAAGAAAACAATGTGTTTTTCTGTCTTTGTTTACACACAGTTTTTTTGCATCTGGCCCCTGGTCAGTGAAAACCAGCTTGAAACCAGTTGGTGGACCCTCACTCCTCTGACTGTTGTGAACGTGTTTGTAGCAGACGACAGTTTGAGGTTTGAGGTCAAAGGTGTGAACTTTGTGCTGAATGTGAGGTGATGACAGTTTTAGAAAGCAGATGGTTCAGAGCTTCTTTGTGCTGCAGTGGAAGATGATGATCCAGTTTTATTAGTGAGTCTTTATTCACTACATGTTTATTGATGTGGATCTCCATTAGTCGTCATCCTCAGGTCCACAGCAGAAAACAAGCAGAACATTACTGACATCTGGACTCTCATGTTCAGTAACTGGACTGTTGGAGTTTAATTTAAATGTAGTCAAACATTGTTCACAGTTGAATATGAAATGATTCACTCTCAGTAACTGTCAGTGAAGTTGTTGATGAATCAACAGATGATAAACTGCAGCTGTGTTGTGTCTTGTTCTCTCCATCAGATTCCTGTGAACTGGAACTGGATGAAAACACAGTGAACAGAAAACTCAGACTGTCTGACAACAACAGGACGGTGACATTTGTGACAGAGGGTCAATCATATCCTGATCATCCAGACAGATTTGACTATTGGCCTCAGCTGCTGTGTAGAACTGGTCTGACTGGTCGCTGTTACTGGGAGGTCGAGTGGAGAGGAGTGGTTGATATATCAGTGAGTTACAGAAGAATCAGAAGGAAAGGAGGCAGTGAATACTGTTGGTTTGGAGGAAATGATCAGTCCTGGAGTCTGAACTGCTCCGATGTTCTTGGTTACTCTGTCTGGCACAACAACAGAAAAACATCCATCTCCTCCTCTGTCTCTCACAGAGTAGCAGTGTATGTGGACTGTCCTGCTGGCTCTCTGTCCTTCTACAGAGTCGCCGACTCACTGATCCACCTCCACACCTTCAACACCACCTTCACTGAACCTCTGTATCCTGGGTTCTGGATCTCTCCTGGTTCCTCAGTGTCTCTGTGTCTGTAGGTCTGAGAGTCTCACTTCACCATCACACACACTCTGCACTGTGAAGCAGATCTGTCTCAGACTCAGACACTGAACATTCATTAGTCTGATTTCATCACTGTGATGATCAACATTTTACCATTTTTGTAAAATGATTTTCATTCTGTCTAATGTTTATTTTTGTCTCTGTTCATTCTGCTGTTGTTATTGTCAGGATCAATGAGCAGCATCCAGCTCTGTTCACATGTACAACTCTGTAAATGGACTTTACTGATAACATAATCAATACACAGGAAACACTTCTACTGCCAGCAACATGTTTTTAATTAATTTATTATTTGAGTTAAAGTGTTTTGACATTCAGTCTTTGAAAATTCAAGATTGTATAACCCAGGTTAGGATTTAAAAAATCTTTGGATTCGTAGAAATGATTCATCAGACCAAATGTTTTGGAGTGAAAATGAATTAAATATATCTCACATCTAAACCTTGGGAGTGATCCACTTGAATTTAGTGAATCTGTTGTAATGTTTTCCAATTCAGTTTCAATACAGTGTGCTTTATTGACATGAATGTCAGGTGATGTTTGCCAAAGCATCGGGGAAGATACAATTCAATGCTTTGAGTATCTAATAGTAAAGAGATACTCTGCCAGTTTATATTCATGGTTAAGATAGATGATTAGATAGATGAGTATTGGTTTGATTGGTCCAATGTTCCAGACAGGCATCTCCTGTTCATTGAATAATTTGATTCACCCTGATTAGTGGTTGGAAACCAGTGCTGGTCTGATGTTGAACCGTATTGGCTGTTATTTGATGAGTAAGGCTCAGGACCAGCTGACAGCAGGGACTCTTTTAGGGTTTCAGTTCTTGGGTTTGTTGTGCCTGAAATCTCAGTGTGTCTTGGGGGTTCAATTTGAGATATTTTAATTTTAATTTCGATTTTTTAATGTTAATAATCAGTGAGTAACAACTTAATTCTGCCCTTTGTACTGGTTGGTGTTTTTCTTTGGATGTTTATATAGAACTAGAGATTTCTGCATGCAGGGTCTTTGTGAGAGGGTTGTCCCATCTAGTGTTACCTGAAGACTGAGTCGACCCAAACTTCACAACCATAAAGGGAGATTGGTTGGAATTCACTGACAAATATTTTAGTGAAATTTCTACTTTGCATCTATTTTGTAAAATTTTTGTAGAAATAAACTCGGTCAGCTTTCTAGATATGAGAGCTGCTCCATCCAGCGTGGGTTGTATCAGCAGGGGTGGACTGGGACAAAAATTCAGCCCTGGCATTTTCTGTCCAGACTAGCCCACACATTATCAGCGGACACTGCATAGAAGTCCACTAATCTCGCGGCATCTTCTCTCATGCATACTACAAAGGAGAGTTATATTCCTTGATAGCAGTTAACAAATAAAGCATTTAACTATGAACTCGAGGACTAAAATTGACAGCTATAGCAATAAATCAATCAATCTTTATTCATTATAGTGTCAAATCACAACAGAAGTTACGCCATGACTACGGGTGGGACGAGACTAACGGGAAGAACCCGTATGCTCCCCTTTCAGTTTTTAGTCTGTGAAACCACAGAATAATGTACAAGATAAAAGATTAGTTCATATTGACCGAAACAAAACGTGCTGCATTTGTTGGTTATATAGTGTGTTTACAATGAATTCTTATCATACCTCTAGTTGTTTACTCTTCATTTCATTGCATTTAAATTTCATAATATTCATACTGTATTTTTGCATATTCATATCTATCTTCACAATTGTATATACACACACAACAGATCTAACATGTTTGATTATAAAGAACTGGTATGATCTAAAGGAATTGTCCTATCGCATGTTTGTCTGTATCAGGACCAGAAGTCCAGTCTAATCACCGATGATGGACCAGCACCAGCCTTTTCTTCTGCATGTGGCCTCATCAATCAACCCCTTTACATCAACACCTGGAGGTATTATCCCTGCACATGACGGATATTGTCTATACTGTGATCTTTTGCACATCT